TAATATTGAAATTATACAGACCTGGGACTCGAACCCAGGTCTTGGACATTGCAAAGGTGTACACCTGCCACTGAAGCGCTTGAATTACATTTAATATATAACGGTTAATGAATATTATAAAAGAAAAGAGAGTTAGTGGCCTCCAACGCGCGCGAGTTTTCAAACTAGCGTATCATTTGTTGACAACACATCATCATCTTCACCATCCCTGTAAAACAAAAACAAAAGCAACGGTTTTTATGGCGTTGTGTTAGGTGGCTTTAGAGAAAATAGCGAATAGCGCTATGGGGTTCAGAAATTGATCGCGAGGGTTTCCTTATGACCGTCAGAGCATCCTGAGTTGAATGGTCATGGTTTCATGGGCTAATTTTCCCCCATTACAAAAGCCCTATTTTGAAGCTCTGTAAACCCTAAATATCAACAATGGTGAAATCGAGTATACAACACAAAAACGCAATTAATTATGTTGGTTAGCATCAGAATATCATAAGGAATATAAATCCACAATTAGAATGCCATGAGAATGCCTAGAATTAAAAATACGATCGTGACTTTTTCTCTGTACAGGGGAGGTTCTCGTTACCAATTCTTGAAGTTTGAGTTGATGTTTTGGATTGGAATGTGATCAGGGATCTCCAAGGAAGCTAATGGGATGGTTTTTATGCCTTGAATCGACCTGGAAAGCTGTTTTCAGTTTTGAGTTTTTAAGGAATTTTTCCAAGTTTGCAATGGCCTTTCTTGCGCAGTTTTTTGTGTCCTATGATTAGGTTTAGGTTTATGCTTATGTAGTGAACATATTAGGTCAACAAAACTCAATCAAATCCATGGCATTGATGGTTTTAGGAAATTTGATTTTAAGGATCTTTTTTCATATCTTTTCCATGTGCATTTGTGTCAATTATGATCAATTAGCTCCAAATCTTTCCTTATTGACTTAGACACGAAATCTTGAGGCTGAAATGTGTACAAAAAGATTTAGAAACTTAGGTTAGTATTTTTCCTATATTTAATTTGATTTAAATGAATTAATACAAATAAAAATTCAAATAAATAAATAAAAAATGAGAAAATACTTCCCTTTGGGCCAAGTGGTCGTGTATATGCTTGAAATGATGAATCATGGAAGAAAAATGGGCCCATTAGCAATTTTAGGTCATTTGAACCAAAGTTGACTTTTCAAAATATCCAAAAATATCCCAACTTCTACAAGGCATAACTTGATCAATTTTTAAGCTTTTCTAATGTTCTTGGACATTTTGGAAAGGTCTTTGAGTCCTCTAACCAATGCCTTTGGTCCCATGTCATTTTGATTTACCAATCTCAAGTTATGGCCTTTGACTTAAAGTCCCTTTTTGTTGACTTTTGAAAATGACCTATAATGTTGAAATTGATAACTTTTTGTGAGAGCATTTCTTGGACTTGAAGTATGAAGATGAATTGTAGGAAATGTCTTTCTCTTCAAAATGAGCTTTGGATGGAATTTTTCTGATAATCCATGTGAAAGTTATGCCCTGGTCAATTTCAGTTGACTTTTTCAGCTGTCCAAATAAGGAAACTTTTGCATCTTTGATGATTTCTGAGCCAAATTTTGAGAATCATGATCAAACATTGATCAAATGATGTTTGTGGCTTCAAAATGATATGTTGACCAAAAATCTGAACTTTTGACTGCCAAATGACCATTTTGCCCCTACAGTTGACTGTAGTGCAATTTAGGGTTTTGACTGTGCAATTTTGAGCTGAATGCCTTGAAATTTGATATGAGGATGCTTGACCATATTTGTGGACATATGAGACTTGATTGGACCTTTGAAAACTTCATTTTCTTGATCAGGACACAAACCCTAGTTTTGGCTGTATAGGAGACCTTTGCACTGTGCAACCCTTGGGGAATTTTGCAGCTTGATTTGGCAATTTCTTGAAGAATATGGGAGGGCAAATTTTGGGGTACAACAGTGTTCATACTTCTGACAATTGTAACATTGAATGTGACTCTTATCAGGTTTTCGACCACCACCTCTTCCTCTATTTGCAACACCATCTCTTTGGTTGCCTTGGTATGGTCTTCTTTGATTCAACATGTTTCCTTCAATCTGGTTTCCTCTACCATTCTATTTGTTGTAGCCACCTCTACCTCTGTCGAAACACTTTCCTTTGCCTTTGGTCTCTTTTGCTGAATGTGCCTGCAAGGCCACATCACTCTTCAATTTTCCTGCAGCTCTTTCGTTCATTCTTTGTTCATGAGATTCAAGCGTCCCTTGAAGTTCTTCCTTTGTCAATTTCGACAAGACTTTCCCTCTTCTATCGCCACCACTATGTGGTCGAACTTAAGAGCTAAAGATCTCAAGATCTTCGACACAACAGCTCTTGTTGTTAACGCTTCTCCATAAATCTTGATTTGATTTACTAGTTTTGTAACTCTAGTGAAGAAATCGGATATGCTTTCACTGTCTTCCATCTGAAGCAGTTCATAGGTCTTTTTGTGAGCTTGTAACCTAACTTCTTTCACTTTCTCAGCGCCTCCAAAAGACTTCTCAAGGATTTCCCAAGCTTCTTTTGCAGATTCTGAATCACTCACTTTTTCGAAATTGTCTGGGCTGACACATTGATGAATTATAAATAATGCTTTATAACTCAGCTTCTCAGATTCTATGTATTTCTTCTTTTCTTCTTCTGAAGCATTTTCTCCAAGCGCTTTGACTCCATCTTTTACAAGGTCCCAAAGACCTTGACACCTGAATAAGACTTTCATCTGTTTGCACCAATTCTCATAGTTGTCTACTTTCAGAATTGGTAGGGTTGCTGGATAATTTGCATTCCCATAACTTGTCATCGTGAATTCTTCAATCGTTCTTGATTGACACTTCCCTTGAATCGAAACAAAGCTCTTGATATCAGATGTTGGAAATCCACCAAAAGACTATGATGGATATCTACCACAATGACAATTTAATTATGAGACAAACAAATAAAAGAAGAAAAGACAAATAATTTCTGCAGAGTTTCTCTCTGCTCACAAACTGTGAAAACTTTCTTATTCACTTTGCAACTGCAAAATATTGTGAATGACTTGCTTGACTTGCTTACAAAAATAGGGGTTACTCCCTCTATTTATAACTGAGCTTACACCCTAAGCCTAAAGCCCAAAATATCTTTTTGTTACTAAATCAAATCTAATTTATTCTAGACTCAAATCAAATCTATTTAAATCTAAAACAAATCAAATCTTTTCGACACATAGTTTCAACACATTAGATTACAATTTAATACACCACCTAATTCATTGTGTCTAAATTATCTATGTTCATCATGGCTCTTATCTTTCTGAATACTTCGACTTGTACTCCCTTCGTCATGATGTCTGCAATCTGATCCTCAGTTCTACAGTGTTCCAAATTCATCCTCCCATCTGCTACTTGCTCTCGAAGATAATGGAACCTCATTTCGATGTGCTTACTTCGACCATGTTCTATTTGGTTCTTTGCCAGATTTATAGTTGACATGTTGTCGATCTTCATGGTAATTGCTCCATGATTTTCCCCTGTTATCTCTTTGACCAAGTTTACCATCCAAGTTGCTTGACAGGCACAAAGAGAAGCAGCTATGTATTCTGCATCGCATGATGATAATTCCACTACTGGTTCCTTTCTTGAATTCCAAGCAACTGGTGCACCACCTAGCATAAACACATATCCTACTGTTGACTTTCGATCTTCAGCATCACTATACCAACTCGAATCTGTGTATTCCACTAACTTGCATTCTTTTCCTTTATCAAATGCAGGAAACAAAATGCCATAATCGAAAGTTCCTTTGAGATACCTTAGTATCCTCTTCACTACTGCTAGATGTGATACCTTTGGCATCTGCATGAATCTACTTACCATACCTACACTATATGCTAAGTCAGGCCTTGTATGATAAAGGTATATCAATGATCCAATAAGTCTTCTGTATTGGGTTGGATCAACATCATCTTCATCTGCATCTTTCGATAGTTGCAGTCTTGGTTCTGCAGGTGTCAAAGTTGAGTTGCATTCTTCCATCTCAAACCTCTTGAGAATTTCTCCTGCATATCTTTTTTGATGCATCATCAAACCTCTACTGCTCTTGTAGAATTCGATACCAAGGAAATATGAAATCTCACCCAAATCAGACATTTCGAATTCCTTGCTGAGATCACCTTTGAAGTCTTCGATCTCACTTTTACAGCTACCTGTTATCAACAAATCATCTACATAGAGACATAGTATAAGAAATTTACTCTTGCTTCTTCTTACATATACTCCATGTTCAGTTGTGCACTTCACAAATTCCTTCTCCCTTAGAAAACTATCAATTTTCTTATTCCAAGCCCTTGGAGCTTGTTTCAATCCATACAGGGCTTTATGTAGCCTGTACACCTTTCTTTCTTCGTCATGTTTCACAAACCCAACTGGTTGTTTAACATAGACTTCTTCATATAAGGGTCCATTTAGGAATGCACACTTCATGTCCATCTGACATATGTGCCAACTGTTTATTTCTGCTAGACCAACAACCAACCTGATTGTTTCGGTCCTAGCAACAGGTGCAAAAACTTCATCCAACTCTATTCCTTCTTTCTGTAGAAATCCTTTCGCCACAAGTCTTGCTTTGTGTCGAGTTACTTCACCTTTCGAATTCTTTTTCACTTTGTATATCCACTTGACATCAATTGCCTTCTTGCCTTGAGGCAATTCGACAAGTGACCAAGTGTTGTTGTCTTCGATAGACTTTACTTCTTCGTTCATTGCTTTCACCCACTTCGAATCCTTTAATGCTTCAGCTTCATTAACAGGTTCGTCATCTGCATAGAAAGCATAATGTACCAGCTCACCTTCATTATCTATTACATCATCTGATGTAATCACACAATCTTGCAATCTTGCAGGCATGCGTCTTGTTCTTTGAGGCCTGCTTGTACTTGGTATATCTGTTGATTCTTCTTGTCGAACTTCTCTTTCGACTTGAGTCTCTGGCTACTCAAGAATGATTCCCATTAAATCTTTCTTGATATTTTCAGTATAATCCCATTTTTTAAACTCATCTATGATCACGTCCCTGTTGATCACAATCTTCTTTTTCACTGGATCGAACAACTTGTAGCCTCCTGTCGAATGATATCCAACTAGAATCATTTGACTTGACTTATCATCAAGTTTTCTTCTCAACAGATATGGCACATGTCTATGTGCAATAGATCCAAATATCTTTAGATGACTCAAGCTAGGCTTCACACCAGACCAACATTCTTCTGGAGTAATTCCTTCTAGCTTCACTACTACGGAAAAGGGCTTTTAAAGCGCTTATTTTGGCCTTTAAAAGCGCTTAAAAGCGCTTTAATAGCTGGCGCTGGCGTAGGTAACAAAAGCGCTTCTAAAAGCGCTCTGGTAGACCCCCCCTTTAAGAGCGCTTTCCTGGAAAAAGCGCTCTGGTAGGACCCCCTATAAGAGCGCTTTCCTGGAAAAAGCGCTCTGGTAGACCCCCCTTTAAGAGGGCTTTTCCCAGAAAGCGCTGCCAAAGACCAGTAAAAAAGCATAAAAAATTAAAAAAAAACGCAGCATACAAAAGCGCTTTTGGAAAAGCGCTCTGGTAGGCCCCCCTATGAGAGCGCTTTTTCTGGAAAAAGCGCTCTGATAGGCCCCCCTATAAGAGCGCTTTTCCAAAAGCGCTTTTGTATGCTGCGTTTTTTTTAATTTTTTATGCTTTTTTACTGGTCTTTGGCAGCGCTTTTACTAAGAAGCGCTTTAGTAGGTGGACCTTTAAGAGCGCTTTTTAAAAGCGCTGTCGTTTCTAAATGAGGTATTTTTATGTGCAGCCTATAATTTAATCCTCCCAGTCGACCTGTAATGTTTTCGACCTGTAATATTTTCGACCTGTAATATATTTTTGACCTGTAATATATTTTCGACGCTATTATTTCAGCCATCAGTAAGACAATATATATACTAATATAATACCATTATAATATCCAAAATTATATATATACATCATTACATCAATAATATTATAGTTCAAATCGACACAAATCCTACATGAAAAATTGCTTAATATAATATTGACACAAATCTTCTTTAATTTCTTCCAACTTAAGCTTCGGGTACCCAGCAACACGGAATTCGTCAAGGTACTACAAAACAAAAACATAATATAAATGATATATTTAGTTAAATGTAATAAATTATATGAAATTATCTTAAGTTATAAATTCATACCGTGAGCGGAATCTCTAATTGATTCGCCTGAAGGATTTCTTTCATGAACCTCAAAACAAAGTATCCGCAATCATGACTGTTTCGCTGTTGCGGACACTACATAATAAAACAAATAAGATTCTATAGTTGTCTTGTTTTACCAAGTAGCATAAATATTATAAGCAAAATTGTGAAAAGTAATGTACCTGCACTTGGATCCAAGTGATGTTGTTTGATTTAGTCCGGGATACCTGTGCGTCCCGTTGACTACGGAACACTTGTATTGATCTAATTATTAAATATATAAAAGCATATGTTTAGATCAATCCCACAAATAAGAAAATATATAAATATACACGAATATATATTTAGAACGATCCCACTTACAAATCAACGATTTCCTTCATAGCCGGATAATTGGTCCATTCACCATTTACCAAATTCAGATAATACACGACTTCTCTTATCGGGTTGATAGCAAGCAGCAACCAGTGTGCTCTATAAATTAAAACAATAGGTTATATGAAAATTTTGCTATACACAAAAGAAACAGAGATTAGATGAACCAAGAATGAGAAACTAACCCTACTGGTCGGGTATTATACGCCCAAAGATGCAGACTTTCTGTATTGCCGGTGGACATGAATCTATCTACTAAGCGTTGTCTAACTGATTCCGGTTCCGAAGCAATTGTCATTCCGCTGCAATGGGCGGAAGACACGAAACGGAATCTGTTAGACAATGCAGTCCCGCGCAACACTCTGTCATACAACAACCTTAAATAAAAACATAATAAACATTAGATTATTTTCATTGAAATGTGTAAATAAATTATATTGTGGGACTAATTAAATAATATATCGGATGAGTGAATATTACCGGATGTATGAGTGCATATTACTGACGCCTAGTTGATCATGCCTAAAAATCTCTTCCAAGTCATCAATTGTAATATGTGACGGGAATTCAATACCGAAGACACTTTCATCCATGTTGATTTCACGTAAACCACCATCCTTCAAATCGGACATATCAACCATTGTTGCGAGTGTCGAACGGTATCGAGGCACAAAAGCACCGCCTTTTTTTGCCGCTTGCTTCGGAGGACCAGTGGGTGGTACGCTACGAACCTGCTGCGTCACTTGTTGTGACTCCCGAGCGGATGCCTAAAAATCATATAAGTTAGGTAAAATATAAAATCATGCAGATTTAGATTCAGACTATATATTAACACTTTAAATGTACCTCTTTTAGTGATGCAACAGACTCCTCCTCCTGTAAAATCCCTTTACCCTTAATTGCGGGTTTTATAGGAGCAGTCTAAAATTAAAATGTAAAAAATAATTAATAAACGGTTTAGAATTGACATTCGAAAACTAAATGATTCATAATCGTTTTCAGTATACCTCATCACTAATGGTAATGAGCTCCGAGGGCCATGCAACAAATGATCCTATTGCATCTCGCAGCAATGTCGTCTCTGAGACCATGTCAGGTACCGGTAGAATCGCATCACGATCTAATACAACATCCACCGATACTTTCAGGTGTCCATCCGGGAGCGGTCTGTGGTGAAGTAAATCTCCCGAAGTGTTGTGCACTTTTCCCTTGCCAACTAGTCGATAATTCGGTGACGATAAGTATAGTTGGCAAGATGAAATGCCCTAAACAAATAGAAAATATAAAGTCATTATCATTAATAAAATAGAACAGTTTGTAAGGAAAAAAACTTATAATTACCTCAGGAAATTTCTTTTGATAGTTGATACTAGCCTTATCACTAGTTTCTCTCACCGATGAAGTGTTGCAATTTTCTCTCATATACATATCTTTATCTCTTTGCAATTCAGAGACCTGTGCTTGCAATTCCTGCAACTTTTGCAACACTTCTTCATTGGTAAGATTTGATATTCTCCTAGAACTCTTATAAAAAGAGGTTGGAGTCACACCATGACCCTTACCCCTCACCCGACCGGGATACTCGGGAGCATCTAGTACTCTACTAAGTACGCTCTCCTCACCGGTGGATGCCGATTGCGACAAGGTCTCCTGTAATTCATTTACATTTAAATAATTATTAGTGGAGATAAAAAATCATTTATATATTAAAAAACATTTGATTTAATTAAAGACACAGTATTATACTTACACATTCAGTATAAACTCTCTGAACATCGGGATCGACAGCTTGATTCTTGCCCACACGAGCTTCCTTCCACAACACATGTACAGGAAGTGAAGCTTCCTCACTTTTAGTCTCCTCTAACTATGCATTGACACAAACGATAAAATCGTCAATTAAAACATGCACATGTAGACAATTAATTAAAACACATTTCTATTTACTTACAATTTTATCCTCTAAGCGTGCATATCCCAAACGCCCTTTTTTGTATGGATACGCGGGTTTGGATGCTCTCTCACTATTCGTGGCACTCTTTTTCTGAAAAGCTTCATCTCTTTGCTTTACAAACTCAGCCCAATCTGCTTCATCAATGAAGGTCGCATACTTTGTTGGCCGTCCCGGTTCCTCTTCAAGAAATTTTCCATCTTTATCCTTAAGATAGGTGTTTGTCAAAAAACTTTTCCACCCTCTATATCTTTTGCCGGCCAAACTAAGTATGTAGCTTTTAGGTTCATCTGGTATCTCAAAAGTCCTCTGCAAAAAAACGTACGCATAGTGTGTTAGTATAAGTAATTTAAACAATTTATCGTCAAGATAATAACAACAATTAACCATATATGATATATACCTGAAGCTCTTCCCAAATCGCTTGTTTTTTCTCCTCCAATTCTAAATTTTTCGTTTTCGATTTCCAGGTAGCTACGGAGACCGGAATATGCATACGGACAAGTGTACCAATATAACTTGTCAACTTTGCAGAATTAGGACCAATTGGTTGTTTATCAGAATTCCATTCCAATCGGTATACTAATCCTTGGTCTCTATGTCGAATGATTCCCTTCATAATAGTGATGCCTCGTGCAACCTCTTTTGCTTCAGTATCAGGTGGAGCATTTGTATCCGAAGCAACTCTTTCTTGTGAGTTTTCTTGTGAGTTTTCAGGTGGGTTTTCAGGTGGAGCATCTCTATCTGGAGCCATTGAACCTGTATCAAACAAACTAAAGCACATTAGTACACTATTAACACTAAATGAGAGTGACAATGGAGCTTTCAATTTTTATATACATAATAAATTCCCGGGTCTTTTTAATTTCACTTATGTAAAAATTAAAACTTCAGAACTACACATATATTTTACTTGATATTTCTATTAGTAATACAAAAATTATATTTCAACATATACACCAGAACAACAGAAAAGAGTTTCAACACTCTTATAATAATTGAAGTAAAATTTAAAGATTCACTTAAATAAGACCAAATATATCATCAACATTTATCACCATTTTTCAAAAAATGCACAAAAACTTTCAACACAAATCTGCTACACCTTGACTCATCACCTTGACACCGAAAAGCAAAACATTAAACATTACACTAGAATTTTAAATACAATATTGCTCCAATTTGACATTAGGCATCAGGGTGCATCACATTTTCAAAACTATTACATCTTACTATCAGATTATTAAAATATATCATGTCATTTTCAAAACTATTACATGCTTTGTATTATCCATGTGATCGATCATATTTGTCTCACTTTCACATTAAAACCAAGAGGTAAAATCTTCAAGCAACACTCTAATAGAAACTGAAGTAACATTTGAAGATTCACTTAAGTAACACCTAAAATATCATCACTTCAATTAGCAATTGGATCATAAATAATCTTCAAGAAGTTTGTCATGACTGTTTCATTTCATGCTAGAAGTATATAATCTTTCTTTGGAGTGTTTTCAAATTCATAATCCTTGAACCATAAGTTTTCAAATTCATCTATTTCTTTCCTATTGAAAAAAGAATCATTTTTTCTACTCTTCATTATCACTTTTGTGATGCATAATCAATTAAATAAATTAACACAACACAACAAAATCTCAAAATTATCTAAGTTCCAATCTTACACATATTAGTAAGTACCAATTCTCTAAATTCCAATTCCACTACATTATAGCGCATTAAAAATATAACCACCTCTAATATAAACAAATTCCTTCTACTCCTAACAAATTAAAAAATAAACACTACCATTTTTCTATTAATGTCTTATGTAACTAATAATTAAAGTTTACAAAATTTCAACTTCTAAGACACCAAACTAAAAAAAATTATCACATTATCACAATACAAACACAATACTTCAAACCAGAACATCAACTTAATAAAACAAACGAAAAACACATTATCACATTATCACAATATTATACTTCAAACTAAAACACCAACCTACAACAACACAAGATTACTTCAAGATTAATTTTTAAAAACAATGTTAAATCTTACTTAAGATTTAAGAGGAAGGAAGCAAGTTAGATGAAGAAGATGGACTTCTAAAAACCAGTTCGTGAAGGCCTCTGGAGGATTGAGATTACTTGAATGAGAGAGATTACTTAAGCAATTGAACGAGAGAAAGAAATTGTTCTCCTGGAATGCGAAAATATCAATTGGTTAGGGTAAACAAGAACAATGACATTAGTTTCTTTGACATTAGTTTGAAGAAACTGTTGAATGAAGAGTATAAAAATACACAAGTTTCCTTGACATCCATCACAAATGACTTACTTAGTGAAGCATCAAAAGATAGTGATACCTTAAATCTTGAGAGCTTTAGCTTGTTTGTTGTTGAAAACAATTGAAATGGGTAGTGAAGAACACTGTAAAGATCATTTTCATTAAAGAAACATTTGCACAGAATAAACATGTCATGATTAGGAATATTCAGCATTCAACAAGTAAAGAGGAATTAGCATCTGGGTAGTGAAGAATTGATGATACCTGATGATGATAACTGAGATTGACGCAAAGCTTTTCACTTCTAAGATACCGGAAATGGTGGCATAGCTAGAGGAAGACAGGGGAAGCTCGTTGTAGGTGTACTGGAAGGAGTTGATGGAGAGGAATTGTGGTTGGAAAGGGTGTAGACGGTGGGGGTGACCAACGGAGGCTGAAAAGCTTAAGACGAACGGCGGCGACGGCAATGAGGAAGCTCTGAACGAAAGAAATGAGGAAGACTAAAGAACAGATTTAGGGATTTTTAATTTTAATATAAAAATAACCTACGAAAGCGCTTTTAAAAAGCGCTGGCATAGGGTACCCTATAAGAGCGCTTCTGAGGTAAAAAGCGCTTTCGTAGGTCCCCCTATCAAAGCGCTTTTCAAAAGCGCTGGCATAGGGTTCCCTATAAGAGCGCTTTTCAAAAGCGCTTTCGTAGGTTAGATATTTCAAATACCTATGAAAGCGCTTTCTGAAAAGCGCTTTCGTAGGTAACCCTATGCCAGCGCTTTTAAAAAAGCGCCTTCGTAGGTTTCCCTTTTTTTTAATTTTGTTTTTTGTGAAGGCTATGGCAGCGCTTTTTCAATAAGCGCTTTACACTACAAGAAAAATGATAGATTGGGACGGTTATTTTGGCTGATTACGACGGTTAAAACCGTCGCAATTTACAATCTACGACGGTAGAAGTACCGTCGCAGAATCGTGCGTCCCCAGCCTATTTCGCGACGGTTGCAAAACTGTCACGCACAACAGATAGCGACGGTTATATACCGTCGTGAATTTGACTTTATTTTTTGTTTTTGTTGTTGTTTGCGACGGTTATTCTACCGCCGTAGGTTAGAAATTGCGGCGGTTTTAACCGTCGTAATCTGATTTATAAATTTCAAATAATATTTTTATTTAAATTATTATTTAGTAAAATAATTTTAAATATAATATTATTTTACTATAATATTTTACTATTATATTTAAATCATTATTTACTTTAATATTTTTTTATTTATAGTATTTTTATTTTATTTTCTATCACTTTTCAACATAATAAAGTTAATTACAATAAAAACATTTAAAGTTAATTCCCTGTTATAGCATTTGAATTTTCAGCAAAGTGTAGGAAGCTCAAAGATCCAAGTATATTTCTTTTTAAATTCTACAATCGCATGCGTTTACGATAAGAAAAAGTATGAAAATTCTAAATTCTAAATGGATACAGTGAGAGAACACAACCATACACACAATAAACCTTAATTTAACCAGCACTGAGAGGGTTTCTGCAAAAATATAATCCCGGTTTGGAATTCATATAGAATATCAATGGCTTCAATACACATACACATGCCAAAATAGTAACATTAATGAAGCAATATCAGGACTTTTTTTTTTTTGGGTTCTGGAAATTTCTAAGAAACATACAACAATTTGGCCTAAAAAGCACGTAGTAGTGCATAGCCCCATGGAAGAAACCTAAACTAAAATTGCTGCCCAGCTAAACTTGGATTTATAATCATGTAGTGTGACTAGGAACTGCTAGTAAATCTAACAAAAGGATGGGTTCTGCCGAGGGTCGGCATTCAAAATTGAGTTCCTCAGCCTGTTGTCTCTATTTTCTCATCCACAACAAAGAGCATTGTCTACAGAAGGACTAATCAATAACTCAAATGTAGCCGTAGTATCTCAATGGGTTCTGATTTCCTGAAGATAGCGTCCAGCTTGCTGAGCACCGATAAATAATGCATCGGCAACAAGAAATAATCCAATCTATGCAAGAACGATTCAAATTTGTGATGTCAAAATTGAGAAAACAATTCACAACTTAAATCATATAATATATAGATTACCAGGCGTGCAGAAAACACTAATCTGTATCCCCAGCCTTCCTTGGCTGCAGCGGCTCTCTGTTGATCTGTCCAACTGGAAGTAATCTTGTAGTTAGAAATTTCTATACATGTTTAAAATTTTTGAATTATTTATAGATTGTGTGTGAAGTCTCATTTGAAATATATATCATGCAATTACGCCCGTGCAATTACCATGGCCACAAGCTAGGGACATTCTGCTACATACAGGAAAGTTGTCATCAAATAGATGATGAATCACAACTCAAATCTGTGTAATTATATGTATGCTTAATACTGACAAGTTGACAACCGATCTCAAATTTGATTTGTAACAGGTATGTAATTTCAGCTTTTGGCATTAAACTTGTTGAACAAAAATCAAGAGAACCCAACATATGAAAAACGTAATTTCTCTTTTTTTAAAATCACCATGGGCCTTTAACAAGCATCAACTTAAAACTCTGCCTGTGTCATAAACCAAACAGTGATAGTTATTTTGAACTTTATTCGCATTACCAACCAATCATAGCTTGTAAGAAGTATAATGTTCTAACGTGGCAGGAATAAACATTGAAAACAATATAAAGTAGAAAATAATTTATGTTATCCATTGGAGAAAACTTGAACTAAATAGGCCATATTAGACTTCATCAATGATATTACATTTCATGCATTAGAAGGGAAAAAAGGAAGATTATATAGTTACCCAAGGAACTCCGAGACACCACCGATTCCAGAGCGATGGTTGAACCTACAGCATTCATCTATTTTTCTTGAATATGTTCAGTAACATATCTAGAACTCTTTTGATCCAAAATAGAACTCTGCATCTTTAATATGTACACAGAGTGAAAGAGAACTCTGAATCTTTAGAATGATAGCAGACAGAATATTCTGTGACAGAGTCAGCATCCAGAACACCTATTTCTTTTACACAGCTTGTACCATAAACAAATATGAAACTGGGAGATATGTGAAGTTGTAAGTTTTTTCTTTGACATAAATTGAAACAGGCACAAACAAGAGGTAGGAAAAGGGGTGTATGAGAGAGACAGCTACGAGATATGTGAACGCGGTTATTTTAAGGATACTTACTATTCAGAATCAACAATCAGCATTTCATGAACCAACAATCAGCATTTCAAACAACTTCCAAATTTTCATCCAAGAGGTAGCATATACCAATTCTTGACTAAGACTAATGACATGACTCGAGCATAGATAATAGAAGCAAATGCAGCACACTATAATCTTACCATAATGAAACCTCGCCTTAATGTTACATAATCCAACTTTGTCACAGATCCATAAAATTGCTTGAAAAATGATCTATGAAATAAAAAACCAAAAATCAGAACTAATCATAAACATAATGTCAATAACAACACGATAAAGCCAGTAAAATATGATTAACTTCATACAATTAACCTACCACCCATCCTGTTATAGCAGAATTTTTGCCAGAACCAGCAGATAATCAACAGTGCAGAGGGAAGAAAGTCATGGTTCAATGGGTGCAGCAGTGCAGTTGGTTCAATGGGTGAGTCAGCCTCTTATTCTTCCTATTGGGTTGATCTGTTGTTGTATTTGATCAGCCTTTTCAAACAAATGCATCATCTTACAACATAGATGGATTTGTAGGCCTACATCTCAGACTTCAATCATGCTACAAGTTAGCACTCGAGTGAACATTATTATGATATAGCTATCATTGTCATAATTCATATTATTCAGTCAAACATTAGAGGTTCATGGAAGACAAGAACAACCACAAAGCATAGCAATTTATCACAAGCATTATTAAAAATTAGGCTCAATTCTGGAGTTAATAATCATCCCTGTGTTAAAATATGTCAGACACGAGAACTGGTTCGTGGGGAGGAAGTTATCCAATTGTACAAGTAAGATCAACGTACAAATTACAACATACCAAAAGCATGTGATCAATATTGTAAGTAACATAGATATGATATTCTAACAACACATCCAAATTGCAAGCACTTAGCAAATTTGCCTTATCGGAACCGCCATGTAGCGAAGTTAAGCGTATATTTGATCAATAGAACACGTAAAATAACTTATCTTTTCATGGAGGAATTGGCATGGTTTCCGGCAACCGAGCTAGGAGCATCCAGATAATTGTAGAGAACTCCATGGTCTGTTCTGGCTTTTATGTCACAAACAACTAACTGATGCCAACCCTTCTCGTAATACTGCCAGTTAAACTCATCAATTGTTGAGAAACGAGTAGCATTTTGTCGAACTAATACTGTCTCGGACTGGGCCACCCTGACTTTTAACTGAGGCCCCAATTCTGAAATTGAAACTCGGCGGCCGTCGCCGCAGTGAGGCCGAAATATTCACCTCAGTTTGGTACCCAGACCTTGCCAAAAACTTGAAAAGTGAGGAAAAGATGATTACCGTGAAAATCTCATGAAAGTCAATACCTTTTCCATAGTTGATGAAGAAGAACAACAACTTCACAAATTGAAAATCATTAGTTTTCTTTAGTTTTCTCAAGAACCTCCTACACGATAACACAGAAAACTGGAGGATCAGTGAAAAGAAATATTTTCAAGACAAACTTCAAACATGAATACCAGATATAAAATACTTGTCTAGAAACAGCAAGAGAACGAAGACCTCTCTCTGCTAACTTGTCAATAATAGCATGGATGTTCGTCTTTGCATCTTTCTTAAGGTTACACAGTCTCATGACATGTTCACAAAGATTACAAACATAATTTGATTTATTACAATATAAATTTCTCAATCATTAAACAAAATATTAAATGATAAACTTACACTAAAACCTGAACAACCTCAAAATGATAAATGAGATTTTTTTTTAGTAATTAATCATTGATTCAATGAATTCAAAACTAATTTTGTCCGGCCAAGTTCCTCACCAAATTTCTCAAACCAGCTTCCCTGGTATATCTCTGAATGTCAAGTTTCTCCATTGCCCGTGTCAAAAATAGTTCTAAATTAGGATGGTCAACAAAGAACTGCTTGTCATCCCGAATAATGGGAACACCAGGTGCATAATGCTTCAACTCTGGAATCCACTTTTTGGAAACATTTTCATAACTGGCTTTGCTAATGAGGGAGAAAGCCAAAATGAAAACATCGGCACCACGATAACTCAAAGGTCTTAATCTGTTATAATCCTCTTGTCCTGCAGTATCCCACAAACCCAGATTAACAGTGCTTCCATTCACAACCACATTTGCACTGAAATTGTCGAAGACAGTTGGCACATAATCAGTGGGGAAGGTATTGCTAGTGTAGGAAATTAGCAAACAAGTTTTACCCACAGCTCCATCCCCAACAGTAACACAATTGAATCTCTTAATAGATGAACTAACTAACAACACATAAACAATGATGCAGACTTCAATCACACCTTTTTTTTTCAATTTCACCACACCAACACAGTTCATTTTCAATATATAACAATCATATAATCATTATAAGTTTAAACAAAAGAAACTAACCAAAACCACTCCAAGTAAACCCTATCTTCATTCTAGAAAGAATACTGATCCTTCCATAATCATTTTTTCAGCACAAACATTAGAATTGGATATTAAAGCAATTAGGTCAAAAACAATAAATCAAGAAAACAAAAGAACGGCGAGCTACTCACTTCCGAAGGTGTCGTTGGCCATACAAAGGTACGCGAGGCCATCAGATCGGAGTATGTGGAAGATATATCTATCTTGAGAGAAGCAAAGTCTGGAATCCGATTCGGTAGGAAGCTTCTCGAGTAACCGACGAGCGACGGCGCCTGTGTTGCCGGTGACGGCACTGAACTCCGCCAGAACCACCGTGCCTCTGGCAACCAAGGCATACACGACATATGAAATCCCAAATCTTATTTTTTCTGTTATTCTCTTATCATAAGTATAAATGAGGAGATAATGTTGATTGGGAATAGAAAGGTTGGAGATGTTCTACCTTTTCCTAAGGCCCTTCACTTTTTTTGGTATTTTTTTGGTATTTTTAACTTTTTTACTGCGACGGGTGTTTTACCGTCGTGATATGCCTTTTAGGACGGTTAATTTTACCGTCGTGACTAGTTGTTGGTGAAAAATCAATGTTAAAAGTGTTAAATGGGGGCCGACGGTTGTTTTACCGTCGTAATAATAATATTATGATGGTTAAATATACCGTCGCAAAATAAATATTAGGGACGGTTGGTGTCAACCGTCGTAAAAACTGTCTCTATATGTCAATTACGACAGTTATCACATAACTGTCGCAATTTTTGTGTCGTTAAACACTAATTTTCTTGTAGTGTTAGTAGAGGCGCTGCTAAAACTTGTTTTTGGCGTAGTGCTTCTTTGTGGGACATCTGTACAAAATGTATGCTGCAGTCGAAACAACTTCACCCCAAAACTCTTTAGGTAAATTCTTGCCTTTCAACATACTTCTCATCATATTCATGATGGTTCGATTTTTCCTTTCTGCAATTCCATTTTGTTGTGGAGTATTGGGTGGCACCACCTCATGCACAATCCCTTCCTTTTCACATAATCTGTCGAAGTCTTTTGACACATATTCTCCACCACCATCAGTTCTCAAAACTTTGAGCTTTCGACCACTTTGTCTTTCGAACATAGACTTAAACTTGGTAAATACTTCGATCACTTCACTTTTCTTCTTGATCAGGTAAGTCCATAGCTTTCGACTAAAATCATCTATGAATGTAACAAAGTATTTGTTACCTCCCATCGAATCCACCTTGATTGGTCCATATACATCAGAGTATATGACTTCAAGACTAGCCTTCAATTTGCCTCCTGCATCCTTGCTGAAGCTATTCTTGTGTTGCTTCGCCTGCACACATTCCTCACATACCTCGTTTGGAATGTCAATTTCTAGCAATCCTGAAACCATATTTCTTCTCTTCAAATCTCTGATGTCTCTGAAGTTGAGATGGCCTAGTTTATAATGCCATATCCATTCATCTCTGCTAGCTGCAGTCAAAAGGCACTTGTGCTCCATCACATTTAGTTCAATCTTGAAGGTTCGATTCTAAGACATAGGAGCCTTCAAGATTAATCTCCCATTTGCATCAACGACTCTCATCATCTTATCTTCGATTGTCACTTTATAATTATTTTCGACCAATTGCCCTATACTGAGCAAATTGCTCTTCATGCATGGTATGTACAACACATTGGAGATTACTGACCTTTTGCCATATTTCCTCATAATCATAACATCACCAACACCTTCAGCTGCTAGGGTATTGTCATTTGCAAATTTTACCATATTTTTCATTGATGGCTTTATATTGACGAACCAGTCTTTCCTTCCATACATATGTGATGAAAATCCTGAATCCAAGTACCATTGGTCCTTGAATCTATCTTCATATCTTGTTGTGACCATCAACATCATCTCTTCTTCTTCTTCTTCTTCTTCTTCATGTTTTGCAAGCTTTGCATCACTTTCTTGATTCTTTCGTTTTTCTGGACAATCACTCGCATAGTATCCATACTTCTGACAATTGTAACATTGAATGTGACTCTTATCATGTTTTCGACCACCACCTCTTCCTCTATTTGCAACACCACCTCTTTGGTTGCCTTGGTATGGTCTTCTTTGATTCAACATGTTTCCTTCAATCTGGTTTCCTCTACCATTTGATTTGTTGTAGCCACCTCTACCTCTGTCGAAACACTTTCCTTTGCCTTTGGTCTCTTTTGCTGAATGTGCCTGCAAGGCCACATCACTCTTCGATTTTCCTGCAGCTCTTTTGTTCATTCTTTGTTCATGAGATTCAAGCGTCCCTTGAAGCTCTTCCTTTGTCAATTTCGACAAGTCTTTCCCCTCTTCTATCGCCACCACTATGTGGTCAAAATTAAGAGCTAAAGATCTCAAGATCTTCGACACAACATCTCTTGTTGTTAACGCTTCTCCATAAATCTTGATTTGATTTACTAGTTTTGTAACTCTAGTGAAGAAATCAGATATGCTTTCACTGTCTTCCATCTGAAGCAGTTCATAGGTCCTTTTGTGAGCTTGTAACCTCACTTCTTTCACTTTCTCAGCGCCTCCAAAAGACTTCTCAAGGATTTCCCAAGCTTCTTTTGCAGATTCTGAATCACTAACCTTTTCGAAATTGTCTGGGCTGACACATTGATGAATTATAAATAATGCTTTATAACTCAGCTTCTCAGATTCTATGTATTTCTTCTTTTCTTCTTCTGAAGCATTTTCTCCAAGCGCTTCGACTCCATCTTTTACAAGGTCCCAAAGACCTTGACACCTGAATAAGACTTTCATCTGTTTGCACCAATTCTCATAGTTGTCTACTTTCAGAATTGGTAGGGTTGCTGGATAATTTGCATTCCCATAACTTGTCATCGTGAATTCTTCAATCGTTCTTGATTGACACTTCCCTTGAATCGAAACAAAGCTCTTGATACCAGATGTTGGAAATCCACCAAAAGACTATGATGAATATCTACCACAATGAAAATTTAATTATGAGACAAACAAAGAAAAGAAGAAAAGACAAATAATTTCTGCAGAGTTTCTCTCTGCTCACAAACTGTGAAAACTTTCTTATTCACTTTGCAACTGCAAAATATTGTGAATGACTTGCTTACAAAAATAGGGGTTACTCCCTCTATTTATAATTGAGCTTACACCCTAAGCCTAAAGCCCAAAATATCTTTTTGTTACTAAATGAAATCTAATTTATTCTAGACTCAAATCAAATCGATTTAAATCTAAAACAAATCAAATCTTTTCGACACATAGTTTCAACACATTAGATTACAATTTTACACACTACCTAATTCATTGTGTCTAAACTATCTATGTTCATCATGGCTCTTAGCTTTCTGAATACTTTGACTTGTACTCCCTTCGTCATGATGTCTGCAATCTGATTCTCAGTTCTACAGTGTTCCAAATTTATCCTCCCATCTGCTACCTGCTCTCGAAGATAATGGAACCTCATTTCAATGTGCTTACTTCGACCATGTTCTATTGGGTTCTTTTCCAGATTGATAGCTGACATGTTGTCGATCTTCATGGTAATTGCTCCATGATTTTTCCATGTTATCTCTTTAACCAAGTTTACCATCCAAGTTGCTTGACATGCACAAAGAGAAGCAGCTATGTTTTCTGCTTCGCATGATGATAATACCACTACTGGTTCCTTTCTTGAATTCCAAGCAACTGGTGCACCACCTAGCATAAACACATATCCTACTGTTGACTTTCGATCTTCAGCATCACTACACCAACTTGAATCAGTGTATCCCACTAAATTGCATTCTTTTCCTTTATCAACTGCAGGAAACAAAATGCCATAATCGAAAGTTCCTTTGAGATACCTTAGTATCCTCTTCATTACTGCTAGATGTGATACCTTTGGCATCTGCATGAATCTACTTACCATACCTACACTATATGCTAAGTCAGGCCTTGTATGACAAAGGTATCTCAATGATCCAATAAGTCTTCTGTATTGGGTTGGATCAACATCATCTTCATCTTTATCTTTCGACAGTTACAGTCTTGGTTCTGCAGGTGTCGAAGTTGAGTTGCATTCTTCCATCTCAAACCTCTTGAGAATTTCTCCTGCATATCTTCTTTGATGCATCATCAAACCTCTACTGCTCTTGTAGAATTCGATACCAAGGAAATATGAAATCTCACCCAAATCAGACGTTTCAAATTCCTTGCTGAGATCACCTTTGAAGTTTTCGATCTCACTTTTACAGCTACCAGTTATCAACACATCATCTACATAGAGACATAGTATAAGAAATTTACTCTTACTTCTTCTTACATATACTCCATGTTCAGTTGTGTACTTCACAAATTCCTTCTCCCTTAGAAAACTATCAATTTTCTTATTCCAAGCCCTTGGAGCTTGTTTCAATCCATATAGGGCTTTATGTAGCCTGTACACCTTTCTTTCTTCGTCATGTTTCACAAACCCAACTGGTTATTTAACATAGACTTCTTCATATAAGGGTCCATTTAGGAATGCACACTTCACGTCCATCTGACATATGTGCCAACTATTTATTTCCGCTAGACCAACAACCAACCTGATTGTTTCGGTCCTAGCAACAGGTGCAAAAACTTCATCGAAGTCTATTCCTTCTTTCTGTAGAAATCCTTTCGCCACAAGTCTTGCTTTGTGTTGAGTTACTTCACCTTTCGAATTCGTTTTCACTTTGTATATCCACTTGACATCAATTGCCTTCTTGCCTTGAGGCAATTCGACAAGTGACCAAGTGTTGTTGTCTTTGATAGACTTTACTTCTTCGTTTATTGCTTTCACCCACTTCGAATCCTTTAATGCTTCAGCTTCATTAACGGGTTCGTCATCTGCATAGAAAGCATAATGTACCAGCTCACCTTCATTATCTATTACATCATCTGATGTAATCACACAATCTTGCAATCTTGCAGGCATGCGTCTTGTTCTTTGAGTCCTGCTTGTACTTGGTATATCTGCTGATTCCTCTTGTCGAACTTCTCTTTCGACTTCAGTCTCTGGCTACTCAAGAATGATTCCCGCTGAATCTTTCTTGATATTTTCAGTATAATCCCATTTTTTAAACTCATCTATGATCACGTCCTTGCTGATCACAATCTTCTTTTTCACTGGATCGAACAACTTGTAGCCTCCTGTCGAATGATATCCAACTAGAATCATTTGACTTGACTTATCATCAAGTTTTCTTCTCAACTGATCTGGCACATGTCTATGTGCAATAGATCCAAATATCTTTAGATGACTCAAGCTAGGCTTCACACCAGACCAACATTCTTCTGGAGTAATTCCTTCTAGCTTCTTTGTGGGACATCTGTACA